CCCTCTGAGTGAAGAAATGTTTCCTCATCTCAGTCCTAAATGGTCTACCCCGTATCCTGACATTGCCTCCCCTGCCCCCCAAACCAGAGCAAACGTCCTCCCTGCAGCCAGTCTGTAACAGCCCTATTAGAATTTTACACACACACACACAGTTCTGAGGAAGGGTCACCGGACCTGAAACGTTAACTCTTGTTTTTTCCTTCACAGATACTTCCAGACCTGCTGAGCTTTTCCAGCAACTTCTGTTTTTGTTCCAGGTTTACAGCATCCGCCTTCCTTTCGGTTTCTATTAGAATTATATACGTTTCAATCCTATCCTCTCCTACAAATGCACGTCTATTCCGTTATTATTTCTGACACCCGCCATCCTGAGGGAGCAGCCGGACACCTACCGCCCTTCAGCTCGCTAACGGTCGCCATCGTAGCGCGCGGGCTCGCGAGCCCCGCCATGCACGTGACACCCCGACACTACCCGGATGTATCGCGTCACCTGGATGCCGTTGCCCCGGTAACCGAACACCGCTCTCACCCCCCCCCCCCCCCCCGGGCCTGGCTGTGAGTAAAAGCCCCTGAAAATCGCTTTGGAACAGCGTCTGTGTATGCGATACAGCTCTCTGTGTCATTGGGAATAATAACCTGTGTAGACTCTGCTGATATTACACTGTGTGTATGTTGTGCAGAATCAAATTACACAGCAGAAAAACCCTCCGTGTAAGTTATACTCTATGCCGTACAGATGATAACAGGCCCTTCCTCTAATATACAGAATAACAGTCTGAGTATTGTAGAGAAATAAAATCATACAGCTGGAAAACCGTCTTTATAAGTTATACTGTACGGTATATAGAGTATATAAAAGGATAACAGGCCTTGTGTCTAGTATGGAGAATAATAGTCTGAGAGTTGTAGAGAAATAAAATCATAGAACAGGAAAACCCTCTTTATAAGTTATACTCTACGGTGTGCGCAGTATATTAAGGATAACAGGCCTTGCGTCTAGTGTAGGGAATAACAGTCTGATTGTTGTAAAGAATAAGATTATAGAGTAGAAAAACCCTCCATGTAAGTTATAGTCTATAACACACAGAATATAGAGACAGAATAACAGGCCTTGCGTCTAATATGCAGAATAACAGTCTGAGTGTTGCAGAGAAATAACATTATAGAGCAGGAAAACCCTCTGCGTAAGTTATACTGTATGGTATACAGAGGATAACAAGCCTTGTGACTAGAGAATAACAGTTTGTGTTGTAAAGAATAAAATTATAGAGCAGACAAACCCTCCGTGTAACTTATAGTTTATAACATATGGAGTATATAGAGAATAACAGGCATTGTGTTTAAAATACAGAATAACAGGCTGAGTGTTGTAGAGAAATAAAATTATAAAGCAGGAAAACCCTCTGTATAAGTTATAGGCTATCATACTCTATGATATATGCAGAATATAGATAATAACAGGCTCTGTGTCTAGTATAGAGAATAACAGTACAGGGTGGTAAAGAATAAAATTACAGAGCAGAAAATCCTGTATGGATAATTGTGAAAAGTTTGCCTTTCACTTGCAGAGAGTTTGTTTTGAGATTAACAGGCCATGTGTATATTATTGAGAAAAATAGCCTATGTGTATATTATTGAGAATGAAACTACATAGTAGAAATGCCTTTTGTATATTACTGAAATTATGGAGAAGATCCCTCTGCTTATTGTAGACAATAATGGCCAGTAATTTTCAGAGAGTATGTTATAGAGAATAACAGACCCTGTATATATTATAGAGAGTGAAATTTAATAGTAAAAATGCCTTTGGTAAGTTATAAAGAATATAAATATAGAGCAAAAATCCTTCAGTATAGTATAGAGAATAATAGCTTATAACTTACACAGATAATGTTATAGAGAATAACATGCCCTGTTTATATTACAGAATAAAATAGTAGAGCAGAAAATGCCTCTCTCTATTATAGAAAATAACAGCTTATAACCTACACAGAAAATGTTACATACACAGAATAACAGGAACTGTGTGTAATGTACAGAATAGCAGTCTGTGTGTATATCATTAGAGCAGAAAAAACTTCTGTATATTGTAGTGAATAGTAACTTCTTTGCACATTGTAGAGAATGGTAGCCTCTGTGTATATTGTGGTGAATTGGAGGCCCTGTGAATCCTATAGACAATATAGCAATCCCTATGCATACTCTAGACTATAACAGTCCTTTTGTGAATATTATGAAGTATGAAAGTCCCTGTGTGTATATTATAAAGAATAACAGCCCACGCTTATATAACAGATATTTACAGCCTCTTTACGCATCTTACAGAGAATAGCAGCCCCCATGTCTGGATCAAACATTCCCTTTTTCTTCTGTGAGGAAGAGGAATAGCAATGAGTCGAGTGAGGAAATGAATTCTTTCATAGCCATGGGACTCATCTGAACAGAAAGGTAATATATCAGGAGCTTGCTTGTGTCTTCTACTCTCCCTTACTGCCTCCCTATTATTCCCCCACCCTTTCTGTCCCCCCCACCCCATCTCATCCCCCCCATCCCCAGTCCATCCCTTTTCCGACCCCCCCATACCCTTTCCGTCCCGCCCCTCCCCTTTCCATCCCACCCCTCCCCTTTCCCTTCCACCTCCCTCTCCCCTACCCACCTCACCCCCACCCTCCTTCCTCTCCTCCCACCTCCCCGGATATGGGCCAAATGGAACTACATTAATTTAGGATATCTGGTCGGCATGGACGAGTTGGGCTGAAGGGTCTGTTTCTGTGCTTTACACCTCTATGACTCTAAGAGACATTGACTCTCAATTTGGCAACTCAATTTTAAAAATGTTCATCCTTATTTTCAAAACCTTCCAAGCCCTCACCAGCCCCATATCTCTATAATCCCACCCAGTCATGCAACTCTCACCAGCCCCATATCTCTATAATCCCACCCAGTCATGCAACTCTCTGTGATACATGCTCTCCACTAATTCTGGCCTCTTGAGCACTTCTGATTTTAATTTCTCCATTGTTGGCCATGCCTTCAGCTGCTAAGTCCTAAGATTTATAATTCTCTTCCTAAATCCTTCCACCTGTCTTTCCTCCTTTCAGTCACCTCGCAAAACCTACCTACTTGACAAAGCTATTGATTCGCTGCTTTATGGGCATACAAACAAATGAATTACGACATTAATTCCTTTGACACTGGTCTGCCATTTGATAAGTTGCATCATCTATTTGTGGCTTCAATTCTACTTTCACTCAAATCCTATATATTATCTGCATGATATCTATGTAATGTCTTATATGGCTTGGTGTCAAATTTTGATTTATAACACTCCCCTGAAGTTCTTTGGCACACTTTATTATATTAAAGGCACTAAATGAATTCATGCTGTTATTGTGTGATGCAAACAGTGAAGATTACCTTTAGTTCAATCCCTCACTTAATTGCTCAGTGACAATTTATAACATTGCATTCTGAAGCAGAAGTAAGTCAAGAACATTTATAAAGAGCCTGAAGGAATTTGTTTAAAGCTGTTCTTTGAGGTTCATATTCAAATATTAGCCCTATTTAAGAGAAATGTATCAACAGCATTCTCAGCATATGAGTAGAAATCTTCAACACAGAACTCTAGACCTGTGAATGACTGAGTCTGTTGAGAACTTCAGGTAAATATATTCATTCTAATTTCTTCTAAAAACAAATGTTAAAAATTGCGTTAAGCAGATATGCCTGCTCTGTGCTTTCTTTGATGTTTTTGGACTCTGTAACTATCAACCTCTGAATTATACGTAAGAAGTTATTCAATACTATAGGTCATTTAATTGTATTATTTCAGAAAAACAGTTACTGTGGGTATGTGTAATTTTATCTTAATAAATTACATTAAAGAATAACATGGGAGCTAGAAATACCTTCAAAAATACAAAAGGGATAGAACCCGTTCTTGTAGTACTAGCATACACCACTGAGTGTCATCAATAATGTGTCAATACCAAGATCTCAAATTAAAGCTGGATACTTAGAAATGAAAGAAGAAAAGTGCATCAAGTTATACAATTACCATGTGCTTCCTGAAAAAAAAAACACTGAAAGTTACTTTTTGAAACAATTTGCCTGACTGCCTTCTTGGCCAGGAAATAGTGCATGACGTGGAGGTCTGAAGGAGAAGCAAGTATTATTTACAAGGTAAATAGAAATAAATAAGTTAACTTTTGGGTTAACTTTTGCTAAGGTAAAACTTGTAACAGAATCTGCATTTATATATAAAAACAAGGCCCTGAAAATTAATTGCATAACACAAAATTTAACTCATTTCATGGCACCCTTCATTTCCATGTTTATCCTGTGGCATTTATTGTAAGCTCAGAAATATCCATGCATGGCACAATATGAGAAAAAGAAACAGTTCCTCCCAGAAATGAGGGTGAATATAATGCCTAACAGAAGATATTTCTTAATACATGTGAAAGATCTCAATAGTTTTTATTTCAGTTCGGCGTATTAGTAGCTACATTACTCAAAGAAACATGAAATGTTTCACAACAGCTGCACACCCATATAGGTGATTTTCTGAGATGAAATTGCTGAGGTATGATAGCTCAGTGGTTAGCACTGCTGCTTCACAGCGTCAGGAATCTGGGTTCGATTCCACCCTTGGGCGATTGCCTGTGTGGAGTTTGCACATTCTCCCCATGTCTACTTGGGTTTCCTCTGGGTGCTCCAATTTCCTGCCACAGTCCAAAGATGTGCAGGCTAGGTGGATTGGCCATGGGAAATTGCCCATTGTGTTCAGGGATGTGTAGATTAGGTGGGTTTCAGGGGGATGCGTCTGGGTGGGATGTCTGAGGGTTGGTGTGGACTTGTTGGGCCGAAGGGCCTGTTTCCACACTGTAGGGATTCTATGAACTTCATAGTTTTAGGATAAGGGGCGGCAGATTTAAAACAGAAATGAGAAAGAATTACTTCTCTCAAAGGGTCGTGAATCAATTGAAGTCACGACCCCAGAGTGTGGTGGACGCCATGACATTGAATAAATTTGAGGAGGAGACAGACAGATTTTTAACTAGTAATGAGTTAAAGTTTATGGAGAGAGGGCAGGAAAGGAGAGTCGAGGTCAAGATAAGATTAGCCTTGATGGTATCAAATGACAAGCAGGTCCGTGGACCTGAATTGCTTACTCCTGTTCCTAGTTCCTTATGTTTTTTGTTGAAGGTTTAAAACTAGGAATACTCAAGAGCAATGTTCCATGAAAGTTCAGTGACTTAGATGGAACATTGCTGTGGGGAAGGTCTGTGCACAATGAGCAGCGTTCTGACAAATGCTGCCATGCATTGGACCTCTGAGTCTGTACAGCAGAAAAATAATTAGAGGAAATGTTGCTCAAGAGATCAGAATTTAAAGATAGTTGGGTATCTCTGTAGATTGAGCGGATGAAGCTGATAACAGAGATATGCAGGAGCGACGCCATGGAGGGATTTGGAAACAAGGATGAGAATTTTAAAATCAAAGCATTGCTGGGCACATATGTGCTTGATAAACAAGACCTGCTGCAAGTTGGGAAATGAGCAACAGAGCTTTGGACGACTAATGAAGGGTAGAATATAGATGGCCTGTCAAGGGTGCGTTGAAACAGTCGAGTCTAAAAGTAACAAAGGCTTTCACAACAGGTGAGCTGAATGAGGAGCAATTTTACAGAATAAAAAAAAATTAGTTTTGATGATAGTGTATTATGTGGTCAGAAACTCAGATTGCCCTGGTCGACCAATTGTCTCCGCCTGCTCCTGCCCCACCGAAATTATCTCCACCTATCTCGACTCCATTTTCTCCCCCTTGGTCCAGGAACTCCCTACCTACGTCCATGACACCACCCACGCCCTCCACCTCCTCCAGAACTTCCAATTCCCCAGTCCCCAACACCTCATCTTTACCATGGACGTCCAGTCCCTATACACCTGCATTCCCCATACAGATGGCCTAAAGGCCCTCCGCTTCTTCCTGTCCCGCAGGCCTGACCTGTCCCCCTCCACTGACAACCTCATCAGCTTAGCCGAACTCGTCCTCACCCTCAACAACTTCTCTTTCAATTCCTCCCACTTCCTACAGACAAAAAGGGTGCCATGGGTACCCGCATGGGCCCAAGCTATGCCTGCCTCTTTGTAGGTTACGTGGAACAATCCCTCTTCCGTACCTACACTGGTCCTAAACCCCACCTCTTCCTCCGTTACATTGATGACTGTATCGGTGCTGCCTCGTGCTCCCACGAGGAGCTCGAACAGTTCATCCACTTCACCAACACCTTCCACCCCAACCTTAAGTTCACCTGGACCATCTCCAATACCTCTCTCTCCTTCCTGGACCTCTCTGTCTCCATCTCTGGCAACCACCTAGAAACTGATATCCATTTCAAGCCCACCGACTCCCACAGCTACCTAGAATACACCTCCTCCCACCCACCTTCCTGCAAAAATGCCATCCCCTATTCCCAATTCCTTCGCCTCCGCCGCATCTGCTCCCAGGATGAGGCATTCCACTCCCGTACATCTCAGATGTCCTCGTTTTTCCAGGACCACAACTTCCCCCCTCTCAGTGGTCGAGAACGCCCTTGACCATGTCTCCTGCATTTCTCGCAACTCATCCCTCACACCCGCTCCGTGCAATAACAACCAAAACAGAATCCCCCTCATCCTCATGTACCACCCCACCAACCTCCAGATCCAACGCATCATCCTCCGACACTTCCGCCATCTGCAATCCGACCCCATCACCAAAGACATTTTTCCCTCCCCACCCTTATCTGCTTTCTGGAGGGACCACTCTCTCCATGATTCCCTTATTCCCTCCACACTCCCCTCCAGCCCCACCACACCCGGCACTTTTCCCTGCAACCGCAGGAAGTGCTACACCTGCCCCTACACCTCCTCCCTCACCCCCATCCCAGACCCCAAGAAGACTTTCCACATCAAGCAGATGTTCACCTGCACATCTGCTAATGTGGTATACTGTATCCGCTGTTCCCATTGTGCCTCCTCTACATCGGGGAAACCAAGCGGAGGCTTTGCACTAAACAACTGCACCTCCCAGTCGCAAACCATTTCAACTCCCCCTCCCATTCCTCAGACGACATGTCCATCCTGGGCCTCCTGCAGTGCCACAACGATGCCAGCCGAAGGTTGCAGGAACAGCAACTCATATTCCGCTTGGGAACCCTGCAGCCTAATGGTATCAATGTGGACTTCACAAGCTTCAAAATCTCCCCTCCCCCTACCGCATCCCAAAACCAGCCCAGCTTGTCCCCGCCTCCCTAACCTGTTTTTCCTCTCACCTATCCCTGCCTCCCACCTCAAGCCCTACCCCCATCTCCTACCTACTAACCTCATCCCGCCCCCTTGACCTGTCCGTCCTCCCTGGACTAACCTATCTCCTCCCTACCTCCCCACCTACACTCACCTTTA